CCGTGTCAAATCTGTGATGCCGCCGAGTATCAATCCCAACTATCTCCAAGTCTCGAATCCGGTAAGTATCACAGCCTCTTACCACCGAAGTCCAAACACTGATCTCGGTCCAACCCGTATCAAGTCTCCAGTCTGACGAAGAAGAAGAAGAAGATTTAGAAGAAGTCTGAAGAAGAAGAAGAGGAAGAAGAAGAAGAAGAAGAAGAAGAAGAAGAAGAAGAAGAAGAAGGAAAGGAGATAGCAGAGGAGGAGGGAGAGATGGTGAGGTAGGGAGGAGGAGAATCCGCACTACCCTGTCCTGGCCCTAAACCTTACCTGCAGGATGCAAGGTGGCGCTTGAGTAGAAGTCCTCTGAAGCTATGGCGCCACAGGTAAGTACCTCGCTCTCGCTCTCTATCCTCAACTGCAGTCTAGCGCTAACCTCGCGCTGCTGCTGTAGCGCTGCGCTCTGAACAGAAATAGCGCAGCGCTCCTCCGAAATGCTGCTCCTCCAGGATGCCTGAGAAGGCGGCCTCCTGGTACCTAAGTGCTGGTGTGGAAGGCCTGCCTCTATGCTGCGATGCCGAGCTGTGATTTGAATCGTCAAAATTGACGATTCAGATCAGACCGGCGGGCGGCAGCCTCAAGAGCGCCGCCAGGCCCAACGGTAATGTCGTTTGGGCCTGCCGGTCTGGTCTGGTCCTAAATTGTGGCCTAAAGGCCAACCGGTGGGCCTACAGTGGCACCTCCGGTCTAAAGGTCCGGCCTTGGGCCTGGACCGGTCTCCGAACCCCTATCTGTCGGGCCTAACCGGGCCCGTGTGACACAGTGTGTAACAGTACTTGACCGTGCAGGAGGCCCGAGGGGCCGATACTTACCTGTGGCCGTGACATTGAGGGTTGCTGTGGGGAAAACACTCAAGTGGCGGGGAACAAGGCGCGCGGCGCTTAAGCAGCGGAAAAAGACTCAAGTAGCAGGTAGGCCGGTACCATACCAAGAAGAGGTAGATGTGCCGGGTACTCGAGGCCGAGCAGAAGAAGACAAAGCTGGCATTTTTAGAGGCCCAGTAGCTGTAGGCTAGGTCTAGGCAGGTACCAGTCCAACCAGTCTGAGTCTAGGGCCTGTACGGGCAATATCAGAGTCGACAGTGCCGGTTGTTTGGAGGCCTCGCGGCCCACAAAGTCACCGCCCAAGAGGCAAGCGGGTCGCTATATCTCCAGGAGGAGCGAAGTGCTCCTCCTCATTCTTCGGTGTGCAAGTTTGGCGACACACTGCTTGGAGCGCTGGCTGGAGCAACACTGCTTGGAGCAGCAATGCTAGGGAGGACAGAGCGCCCAGCTCTCCACAGCGACTATGGTGGAGGAGCACGGGCTGGAGGATGAGGGAGACGAGGAGTAGGAAGAGGGAGAGCACCAGAGGTACTTACCTGGCTATGGTGGACGCCATCTGCATCACCTTGGTGGACGCTGCATCTGAAAGGCCCCGCTGGGGTACAGCTGCACCAAGAAGCTTCGAGACAGAGTCAGGCATGACGGCCTGAACAAGAGCAGCCATAGCTGCTTTGTGTTGTCCTTTGCACAGCAGGGCAATGCCCTGGTAGTCTTCCATAGCCTCCGCCTTGGAGAAAGGAGGAAGAAGGCTGGTGATGGCTATGGTGGACCTCATGTGATACCTGCAGTAGAAGATGGATTCGGACATTGATTCTGGTTCAGTCATTCAACATTATTATTATTATTTATTGTTTGAATAAGAGGGGAGGAGAAAAGGAGGAGAGTAGTTGGCGAAGTAGTTGGTTCATTGCTCATTGCTGGTGTACATCGTCTTCTTCTTCTTATTTCTTTCATCTTCTTCTTCTTCTTTCTTTCATCTTCTTCTTCTTCTTCTTTCCCTCTCTCCTCTCAAGTTCATTCATTTCTTTCTGCAATTGGACGGCATTGTACTTTCTTTTGAATGTGTGATGACCCGACCAAACACAGACTGAGACACAGCTGATTTCGGAGTTTTGCTCATGGACTAAATGCCTTGCTGAGTTTCTCGCTTGCTACCAAGTTCTGCATGTCTGTGTGTGTGCATGCTTGCTTGGTCTGCATGTGTGTCGGAATGCTGGGTGGCTTGAGTGTGTGTGTGACCCGCAAGGGCACCTGTTCATTCATTGGGCCCTCAGGGCCGGTACTTACCTGTGGCCGTGACATTGAGGATTCCAGCGAGGGAAAACACTCAAGTGGTGGGGGAAGAGGCCCGCGACACTTGAAGCAGCAGGGGAAACACTCAAGTAGCAGGTAGGCCGGTACCACACCGGGAAGGGGTAGATGTGCCGGGTACTCGAGGCCGAGCAGAAGAAGACAAAAGTGGCATTTTTAGAGGCCCAGGCTAGGTCTAGGCGGGTATCAGTCCAACCAGTCTGAGTCTAGGGCCTGTACGGGCAATATCAGAGTCTGCAATGATGTTTCCCACCGAAAGGGAGGAGGTACCGGTTGCTTGGAAGGCCGAGTGGCCTGGAAGTCACCGCCCGAAGAGGCAAGCAGGCCGCTATATCTCAAGGCCGGGCGAAGAGCCCAGCCTCGTCGTCAGTGTGCAAGTTTGGCGACACACTGGTTGGAGCGCTGGCTGGAGCAGCGCTAGCAAGAGCAGCACTGCTGGGGAAGGAGCAAGGACACGGAGGAGGAAGAAGAGCAGGAGGAAGGGGGAGCGCCAGAGGTACTTACCTGGCTATGGTGGCAGCCATCTTCATCACCTTGGTGGGCGCTGCAGCAGGGAGACCCCAGCTGGGGAGAGCTACACCAAGAAGCTTCGAGGCAGACTCAGGCATGGTGGCCTCGCCGGCCTGAGCTAGACCAGCCATAGCTGCTTTGCGTTGTCCTTGCACAGCAGGGCAAGGCCCAAGTAGTCCGCCATAGCCTCGGCCTATGCGAGTGAAGAGTGAGGGAGGCGGCCACGGCTATGGTGGACCTCAAGTGATACCTGCAGTAGAAGAGGAACTCGGACATGATTCTGGATCAGCCATTCAACATTGTACCATTATTTCTTGTATGAATAAGAGAGGGGGAGTAAAGGAGGAGGAGAGTGTTGAGTGAAGAAGAAGAGCTTTGTCATTTGTCTATGCTGGTGTACATCATCTTCTTCTTCTTTCTTTCTTCTTCTGCCTCTTCTTACCCTCTCTCTCCTCTCAAGTTCATTCATTTCTTCCTGCAATTGGACGGCATTATACTATCTGATGAATGTGTATCTCGAAATTGGCCAGGATCATAACAAATGTGTACTTTGAAATTGGCCAGGATCATAACAAAACGGTCAGATCGTCATGGCAGTGCTGGTAGTGGATCGGTTCAGCAAGTACGCAGAATTCATTTCCCTTCCCTCCGAAGCAAAATCAGAGCTCGCCATTCATGAATTCTTTGCACATTGGGTGAAAGATGATGCGCACCCACTTACTCTAGTTAGTGATAGAGATGTTAGATGCACGGTGAGCAGTGGCAGCAGTTGATGAAGATAGATGCTTCGCAGTTGACCATGTTGTCAGGCTGACACCTAGAAACAGATGCTCAGGCCGAACTGATGAACGAACTGGTACAGCAAACCCTTTGTGTGTACGTTACGCCAGATTAGATCAATTTGGACGAGCAGTTGCTAAAGGTAAGTGAGTGTTCATGGCGATTCAGTGCACCTCTCCACAGGTAAGAACGCGGAATAAGCTGCACAAAGGGTGGAAGCCATGTAGACCAATAGACTGCTGTAATCGGGTACAGAGTCAGAGACTACCACACAGAATGTGCTAGTCTACACGTACTTATGATGTGCGACTGCAAAAGCCATTCTTTTCTTATTGGATCATCCCAATGATATATCAAGATTCAAGACTGAAGAAGGAATGGAGGAGAAGCCAAACAAACAGCAACCGTTCCCCATCTCTTGTCCAATGTGATGGCTGCCTTCCCATAAATTCCTTCCCGTCCACCTCCAACAACTTAATCATAAAGGTTTACCGGGAAAGGCAAGACAATATACTGTGTTAAGAAAAAAGTTTCTGCACCTAGTCTGTTAAGATTCATGGATAGCATGCAGTCTTGTTGGGCCTTTGCAGTGGCAAGCAGTTCCCATAGGTTACTTCCTCCATTACCCTTGCCAACCTCCATCCCACCCAAAACCCACTTCACTTACCTGTCTGAACCACCTGACCTTCCACTCCTCTCCCTTCTGCCTCCTCTCTCTTCTTGCCTCTCGTTGCTTTTCTTCAAGCCTCAGTTTTTCAGGTGTAGCCCTCTCCAAATCACCGTCCTCCTGTGGATGAAGAAATATCATATGAGAAAGGATGACGAAATGCAATCTGGACTATTACATAGTGATTGATCGGACATACTGGACAATATTCTTCAAGAACCCACAAGCGTAAACCTGACTCCCCATAGCTACAGACCTACATCACACTCAGCAGGACATGATTCCAACCTAAGTCCAGAGGTGATCCCAAGCCTAGATCTATATGTGAGGTGTAAGAAATGATATTTGATGTCTATTTGTTTTCGTGTTTAACACTGTAGACCTATTGTGACATTGCCAGCAAGGAGTATGGAGTGAGGCCGCACTGGTAAGACTTTGAAACACACGGTGGGAGAATTTATTTGTGTTTCCGTTTTTTTACTGTCAGGGTGGCCGGAGTTCGGTTCGGGTCGAAGCCCCGACCCCGAACGCCCGAATGTTCAGGACCACCCAAGATCACGTTCTTTATTGTTTTCCTTCTGTTATTTTTTTTTGGTCTATATTGCAGAGGGGTAGTTCTTCACACTACCATTTTTCTCATTTGAAAAAAGGGCGGGGAAGCAGTTTGCCTGCCGAACGGCAGGAGCCCCTCCCGCCATGTGTGTGTGTGTGTGTGTGTGTGTGTGTGTGTGTGCGTGTGTGTGTGTGTGTGTG